AGATGTGATGATGTGGCCGCGTGGGCCAATCATTCCATTAGATCCCCACCCACCCCCCCACCCCACCCCACCCGGATGTAAGATGTGATGATGTGGCTGCGTGGGCCAAATCATTGACAATTCCCACATCTCACCATCATTTCCCATCGATGCGCAAGTGACCCGCTGGGTCGATGCGGTCTATGCGTAAGTGACTCTCCGATGCGCAAGTGACCCCCGATGTGCAAGTGACCCATTTTGCGATGCGCAAGTGACCCTCCTGCCAGCAAAAGTGCCCTCAAGAGCGTCCTCCAAAGGTGTTCCGCAAAAAAGTGTCCAGCAAGAGTGCTTCACAAATGGGACTAGTAGAAGAGTGTCGCGCAAGAGTCAAGCAAAAGTGTCGCACAAGTGTCTCCAACAAGAGTGTGACCCCAAAGTGCCCTTCAAGAGTGTCGAGTGTCTTTGAAGAGTGTCAAACAACATTTGGCCGTTGGTGTTTGCGTATGTTTGCGCATTCGGGTTCCTGGGATCAGGTTCATTTTTGTTGAAAAGCGTTGCCTTTTGAGGACGGCGACCAAATATGCGACTTTCCTGCACTTAGAGCCTTCGGGTTCAGACCTTCTGGCATTTTCTTTGCTTGCAGCATGGTCCTGAACCGACTGGCATCGGCTGGCATTGAGCGCAGGACCTCTTTGATGTGCTTGATGCGGAGATGGTGGACAAGTTGCACTTCAACGAGCGGCCCTGGCTTTTGACAGCAGACAATAGGAGCAGCTTCCAAGAAGTGAGGAACTAGCGGTTGTAGTAAGCAATTTCAAGGGATGAGGTCTGAGAAGTCAGTGTGGGCAATCGCGATGCAAATGGCGTGGCTTGGACAGATTGTTTTGAACAGACAGAGCTGTTGCTATGTTGCCAGGCTGGTGGACGGACTGATGCGATTGCGTGGCCCCATCACCAAGGTTGATGTTATTGCGCTTCGTCCGCTGCTAAGAAAGTTGAGTACCCTGCAGATGTTTTTGCAATGAGAATCGTTTGCTCAGCAAAGACCTTGAAGAACAGCAAGAACTATGTGTGTGCGCACCTGGCTAGACGGTGCAAGATATTTGGCATTCCTACTTCAGTCCAATAGTTGAATAATTCAATATTTTAGGCTACCAAATTAGACTTGGCAGCTGTTTCTAATCACTGGAGACAGATCAAGCAAACTATATACACGTTTTCACGTTTGTGCCAACTGAAGCGTAGGTAGCCTTTGTTCGCCAACTTTGCAACACGCGGTACTTGGTAAACTTCGCAAATTCGGAGATTTTGGAATTCCTAGCACTTCGATACTCCAATCACAGAAGTGCTGAGACACTCCGAATGACACGCAAAGGTTTACATATAGTCCATTGGCTAACACCTGAGCGAACTGTGCTTGGATTGAGCGCTTTGAGCATTGTATCATTGTAAGGGTTACATCCTATCAAGCATTGTATCCTTATCATAATTGTATCACTGCATCTTGCAGCTTGCTTGATGCTTCAAATTCTTTTAATTTCTCGACGTCAGGAACCGTCAGGAACCGTTGCGGCCATGACAACCTTTGAAGAACTGGAACCCTTCGTTTTTGTTGCACTAGTTTTAGACTAGCTGCTGCTAGACTAGCCTCCGTTATAAACGACAAACACCATTAGCTAAAAAATATCAGCTGCTTGGAACAGTTAGATTTGTGTTTGTATTGTTTTAACCTATGCAGCTGTAGCTCTTGCCTTGGCACCGACGCTAATTGAAAGCTGAAATCACGGACTGCCATGGATAGAGACTCCATCCAGCTGACGCGTCAGTGGATACTCTCGCTATGACCTCGAACTTAGAGATAATCTGAGGGAAATTGAACATGAATAAGTTTTGTTCTGTTGGCGCACTTTTGATTCGGGAAAGCACGAGTTTTGTTCCCAGGGGATGGCACGAGCCACATGCAGTGTCCCTTCAACGTGCAGTTGGCAGATCCTGCATTGAGCTGAGGCTTGAAGATGAGGCACTTGGTACGTTTGGTGCACCAGGTCTCGCAAGCCTCAAAGGCCTGGCACATCCAGATCCAGCGAGCACGAAACACGGGTGAAAAGAACGAGAAAAACAATTGGAACTGGGACGGCAGTTTCTGAGAACTGAGACAGATCTCCAAACAGACCAAAAACAACTCAAGGACCAAACTTGAGAGTTGAAAGACCAATGCAATCAGGTCAAGTCGTCGTCATAACACACTTGGATTTCAGCTGCAACACTGAGTTTTTCACGCACACGGGAGTGCGAGGTTGCCTAGCTCTGGCAGTGCTTACATTTTGCACTTGCTAAAGTGATGGACACGATTGAAGCCCACGGGAGTGGAGGCCATTGCTCCTGCTCCTGGCCTTACTACTAGGAGCAACTAGTAGCTCCTGGCATCGCTAACTTGACGGTTTTGTGCCCAAAGAGGCCATGACCACCGTAGAACAGATTTACCGACTGCGTCGATCTCACTGCGATGTGGCAAGGCACCCTCAAAGAGGATGCCTTGGCTGTTGTATATATTTTGATTGCATGCAGGAGTTTCGCAAAGAACTACTTGATGGTTCCTTCATTTGATTGTAAATTGCAAGATGTTGTAAGCTGTATGTAATTGTAGCCTTTCGCCTTTAATGCTTTGCGCAACAAAGTGACCCTAGACCAGACGCAATTATATAGATGGTATCATGACATATCCTGGGGCCCCATGCAATTTGTGTTCCGTGTTTTCGGCCGAACATGAAATCGCAGTGCTAAAGAACCTGCCACACATGGACCATGACTTCTCGAGACGTGGCTTGAAATCCCAAATTCCAAGCCCATTCTCTGTGACTCAAGCCATATGGACATACAGAGAAACAAGATGTGGTGAGTTGCTGATACTTGTTGCGCCTTGGACCGTTTTGGGGCTCATCAGCTTCAAGCATAGGTTCATTTTTCTGCATGCCCGTCGCCGGTTTAGCACTTTCAGCCGACTTTCAGGTCAACTTACAGTTACTTACATGCACAAGCTCATGCAGTTAGGAGCAGACGATCATTCCTGCTCTATTTTCATGACTTCGTGTTCACGGCTTCCAAGTTAGGATGCTGCCCTTCTCAGCATTCTGAGTTAGGTGACCTAGGCGGCCTAATAAGCATCGGTGTTTTTGTTCTCCTTTGTGATGGCGGAAGTTCTCTCGCAGATTGGACAGGCAAGAGTCGGCAAGAGCTTTGTTCAAAAAAAATTGCAGGGCAAGAGTTCTGGACGTTTGAAGTGTGATAAGTAGGAGAGACAGGGTAGCGAGACTACCGATTGAAAAGCGCGAAAAGCGCGGACAAGTAGCACTGACCAGGCTCATAAGACTGGAATGCCGTTGTTGCTCATAGTAGCCTCATATTGGAGGCTTGCCTTTAGGTTGCCTAGGAACAAGGACGCTACTAGGGGCTCCTGGCATCGCTACTAGGAGCAAGAAGCTACTAGGGGCTCCTGGCCTTACTACTAGAAACAAGAATGCTACTAGGAGCAAAGGGCATCGCTACTAGGAGCAAGGACGCTACTAAACAGTTTTGTTGCTACTTCTGTTCGATGCGAGGCGGAGACTTTCAAGCAAGAGGGCAACACTCGCTTCAAGGATACAACTCTTGGGTTTCCTGCTCAAGTTGTGAGAAACGTTACTGACCTTCTTGGACTCTTGGACCTTCTTGCTAGATTCTACTTGACTTGGCTATTTGTGTGGTGCTTCTATCAGGACCAGAACTTTCGTGGTGCACTTGGCAGCTACCACAAGGCTTCTTCGCAACTTCATGTCTTCCTACTGTTGAGACTCCTTCCCTTGCCTGTGAGGTTTTTTGTTACCTCAATGGACTGCAATTGCCTGGAGAGAGGAATGAGGCCAGCAGACAGCATCAAGCTTGCAACTTCTGAAAGCCGACAAAACTAGCAGCTAAACCAGTGGATTCTTTCAATGGAAATAGTGGGAACTGAGTGGGACTGGTTCTGACAGCAGGCATCGCAGTATGCAGAAATGATGGGCTTGGATGCCGAGAACTGACAGAACTAGTCGCTCCGCGGCCAATTCCGTTTACACCCTGGACTCCTGGACCCCTCCAAAAATGTGTACTCTTTGATGAATTCAACTCAATTGTTTCAAGCTCGAACAGATTCCCATGAATCTTTATGACGCCGTCAATTCCATCACCGTTACTAATACTTCAGATTTGTCTGTACAGCCTTAAACCCTGTGATGATCTTATCATAAAGGGCTAACGTCTTATTGAACATGCAAGTCATCATGGACACTTCACGACCTTCCAGAACTTTCAGTCAACTTGGAAAACTGTAGGGTTCCGACGAGCGAGAACTTTGCTCCGACTTTTGGACTCCTATTGCATGAAGATGACAGCATCCTGAACTCGTCATGAACACTCAGGTAAGTGCTGGCACAATGCCATATGCTTGTAATTGCAAAGTTGAACAAGACTTTTTTTTCCTCGTGTCTTTTGCTCCTGCTCTGCGGTCAGTCGGCCGTGTTGGCCTTAAAGAGTGCCGGCAGCCTCTGCTGCTCAGTGTCGCCTCCGCACCTCTTTTTGATGGTGCTGCTGGGTCTCCATCGTTCACCTCCGTCTGCAATGCAGTGGGCCTTGCACTTGCCGCAGTAGACTTTCCCTCCTTTTCGCCATAGAGCATGGGTGGGATGTCCCTGCCACGCTGCTTCTGGCTGCCAAGCCTGATTCCAGCAAGGCCGCTGGCGGAGTTCTTCAAGGCTCTGACATTGCAGCTCCTGCAGACGATGTAGTTGGTCTGCATGGTGAAGCTATGATCTGACATCTCCAGGAGCTCACCATTGGTGCCTTTGACTCTCCAGCTGCCTCATTTCCGCCCTTGATGGGCATGGACGGAGCCCCTGTGCAAACCTCTTTTTGCACCGCTAGCAGATCAGCATACTTGCAATGCTTTGTGATCCTCTTCTGGCATTGTTGGTGCTGCAGCCCTTTGCCTTTGGCATTTTATTTGTGCCCGGGGCAGCGGTGCTGTTGCCGATGTCCAGGAAAAGCTGAGACTTTTTGTCTCTGGCCTGTTTTCGTCTAAACTTGCCTTCTTCCCTTGCATTGTGTAGGAAGTGGTCTTTGGTTTCGAGCAAATATCTGATCCTCTGGATTGTGAGACATGCAATTTTGGCATATCTTTGATCTGTGATTCTGAGTTCTTCCTCTAGCTTGATGGGCCGCAATGAAAGGACTACCTCCTTGGCGACTTTGGTGGCATCTTTCATGCGTGTCTTCACAGTGTAGAAACCCGGAGGCATGTCATTGACTTGCTTCAGGCTCATGGTCAAGGCTTTTGATCCTGCTCCGCTGGTCAGCAGTGACCAGTTTGTTGAGGTCAAAGAAAGTGTGTCTATGCTTTCCATGCACCCATGCTTCCCAAGCCCTGGTCGACAGAGCTTGAACTTTGACTTGACGGGTCAAATCAACATAGTGAGCCGTCAGCCTCAAACCAAAGAACCAGGCCCGCTCCAGCGACTGTTTGCCCGGAAGGACAGTAGTCACTGCCCCTTTCATGTAAAGCTCGCCGCCAATGTGGGTGTGATGAACCAGGGCCACAACATAGTGCTTGAGCCAGTGCTGGTTGGGGCAATGCCTATGGTGACAACATCACTGTTGTGCAAGCGCACCTCATCATGTGTCGTCCATGAGCCCCAAGCCTGGACTGATGCACCTCCAGTGGAGATCTCATATCGGGGCAACTGCATGAGGCCCTGCGACCAGAATTCCAAATTCAAGCCCTGCTCAATCTCCTGTCTGTCATCTTCATCCAGCGGAGGGAAGGCCTTTTGTGTCTCAGGGCACAACCAGATGAGGTGCACTGCTGTGGCTTCTTGGTGGCAATGCGGGCACTGAAGATGTCCATCACCTTGCCCATCAGCCATCTTGGTGAAAAGCGAGCCCTGATGCCAAGTTTGGAGTGCCACATTCTGCACCTTGGAGAGCTTGTTAGCAAATCGGCGCCAGGGCACCCAGTCCAGGGGTTGCTGGATCTCTTGCAGCATGGTTCTTTTATTGAGCTTCATGACAGTTTCCCAACGCTGGGCACGTGCAACCTCTTGCTCGAGGAAAAACCACTCTGCATGCATGCTCAGCTTGCAATCAGGCTCTCCATTATGACCTGGTTTCGTCCACTCATCATACTTCTCGAAGTTCCAGCCATGTTCCATCAAATAGCATTGTAGGGCCGCCACCGGTCCTTTGGCATGCTGCCAAGGATGCTTCACTTCTTGAAGTCGATGTTGCCAGGCCTTTTCAAGGTCTTGATGAAGAGCTTCAGGCCTGTTTCCGAAGAACTTCTTGTAAACCTTGATCTGGTCTTCAAAGGCCGCGTAGTCAGGATCCCTGTGTCGTGGCTGCATGTCAAAGACAATGTCTATGTTGCCTCTTGTGCAATCCCATCTGCCTGGCCGGCCGTGTGGAGACGTCTCCGCACTTGAGGAGCCAATCCCATGGCTTCATGGCCCCAGCTTACTCCTGCCACAATGCTGCCCTTGTATAAACGAAGTCTGATGGCCTTGGTAGGGATTTTCAGGGCTTGGAGCTTTTTGTTTTTCCTTGTGGCTTTGGCCCTTCTGTTGCGCATTGTCTGGATGCGTCTGAGGCGGCCTGCCGTGCAGTCAACCCCCAAATCTCTCATGACATCGTGTACTTTGGGTCCATCACTGGACAGCTGGTCCTTGAGCAGCCGCTTGGCCTCAACGTTGGAGACCACAAACCCGGTCTTCTGCAACACCTTCAAATTGTCCTCTTCCAGCTGGGCCTTGATAAACTCATAGGCCTGCGCAGCAATCCTCACCGCATTTCTGGGGTCCCGGTCGATGACGTCGAAGCTGAGGTCAATCCATAGATCTGATGCAGCTGTGGAACCCGGTGCAAGTAGACCTTAGCTGCCAAAGGAGCTTGTGGGTCACCTGCCAGAATGCCATGACTGGTTCACAAAGGCTCGGAGGCTTCACCTTCAGCTTCCATGCGGCTCCACACCTGCCAGGGCAGCATGTGTAGGATAGGTGGAGTCCAGCCATCGTTCCGCCAGCTTCAAGTTGATGCGGTCAGACTACCGTGCGCCTACAGGGCCCGCCTACGCGCTACCGATGGTGTTCACAAATGCTCTCAATGCAACCTGTAGGCGCTCAGTGCCAACCGCTCTCTCCCAAGGGCTTTCGTTTGGGCATTCCTCAATCTGCACCACAAGCGGTACAGCGTGGCAACCAAGACACTAGGCCTCTCGATGGCTGGGCAAAAGAGCAATCAATGAGGTACCCCACTGGCTGGGTATCATGACCTGTTCCTCAATGTGATGAAAGAGCTCTTTCAAATCCGACATCGCCACAAAAGGCAGGGCCTTCAGGAAGTCGAAACCAATGCCATCAAGCCCCCGGGCTTTGAGCGCCATCTGCCGAATGGTATACCATATGTGCCCTTCAGTGAGAGGGGGAAGCGCACTTGCTTCTTCACGTCCTTTGTGAATCAACTGCTCAAGGCATTTGAGCTGGACTTGTTCTGCTTGGACTTGCCATATGGCCCCCCACGGCATGCGTTCCCTTCTCGGCCTATCTTGAAAAGGTCGCAAATATGGCATCTCATTCCGTTTCAAAGATCTGAACAAACCACGGCAGCCACTCTGTGTAGCCTTGGTCAGCCACTGTCTGTATTCTTCAGTCTCAAGCGAGAAGCTTTCAGCTTGGTGAAATTCCCGTTGCTGCTGCGCAAAATTTAAGAACGCATGAATGTGCTCGTCATCATGCTGGCTCCAAAGCATCTCGAAGAGCAGATTAAAACCTTCGAAGGTGACTCTTGCATCCGGGTCCCAATGTTGCTCGGTGTGCCACCTCAACTTCTTATAAGCTTTGGTTCACCTCTCGGTTTGTGAAGGTACCTCAACTTGTCCCCAAAATGCAAGGCTTCCTTTGCGCCACATCCACGGTCGGCTGGGATCAGCCACAGGTCTGTGAACCGTGCCTCTGCCAACTGTCGGCGCCTCCAGTTTCTGCAGGACATAGCGCTCGATCCTGTGGTATAGCCCCCTTGCGTTCTTGGACAGGGTGTCATCTTGCTGCTCCAGCCATCGAACTGGTACTTCTGTTACTAGTAGCGTCCTTGTTACTACTAGCAAGGCACTTGTTACTAGAAGCGATGCACTTGTTACTAGTAGCTTTTTGTTAGGTGTTCAACCTGATGCCACTCTTTGTCCGGGTTTTCGAGCTTTGGTGCAGGCCCAAACTTGGTGAGCTGACGAACTGCTATGGGCAAAGCATGTGGACGGAAAGGAACCGTCCAGTTGCATGTGACTTGCATGTCCGCAACCAGCGCATTGGAGACTAAAGCCCAATCAAGTTCATTTCCAGTATTGCATGTCTTTTCTCCAGTGGCTACTGTAAGACTTGAACTTGCATGATTTGTGCCATTGTGGTAGTCATGAACTCTTCCGGAGTGATGTTAAAATCCCCCATGATGATCACCTGTTTCTGGAGCCCTGTGACAAAGGTCAACAAACCTGACCAGAGCAAAGCATTTGTCTGGCTTTGAATGCCTTCTCCACACTTGAAATAGGCCATGATCATGACCACATCAAAGTTGTCAAAGGTCCACGTGACACCATACCATCCGCAACCTTCGACTATCTGCTTCTGCGCAAAATGGAAATGCGTGTGAGCCGGGAAAAGAAGCAGCGTGCCCCCATAAGTGCCACCCTTGGCACTCTCCGCAGCAGGTTCACCAAGCACCCCAAAACCACGTGTTGCCATCCATTGCAGCATTTCCTCATGACCAGCCTGCCCCAACTGGGTCTCAACCATGAAGATGGGGGAGCGCGAGCGCCCCATCAGCCATTGCCTGACTGATTGCCCAAGGTTGGTCACATTGGCAAAATCAAACCTCCGTTTTGGCTGGTTCATGGTTTTCTTCCATCAAAGTCTTGCCTGTCGGGAAGTCTGTTGCCACCTCACCTGAAGTCAACAGGAGCTTTGTAACAATCTGGGACTTCATCCTGTCCTGGTCTTTTGGGATTGCTCTAGGGAAGGAACCATCATCCACAATCCAGGAGAGTCCACGATAGGTGAACACAGCGTAGAAATGCCCGTGCTGGTGATTGCACGAGTGACAAAGCATGCCTATCACCGAATACTGCATGGTTCTAGTTTCATTGCCATCCAGGGTGACAAGGCAGGTTGAAGATTGACGGGACATTGAGGGGTCGGTGGTGTTTTGTCCAAACACCATCAACCTGAGCATATCTGCCTATCTGTGCCACCCACAGGCCCTTGCCATCAAAGACCTGGCCCTCTGCCGGGTTGGCCCATTCCATTGCGAGAGGGATCAGCGTCTTCCGCTCCAACCGCTCCATCCGCTCCATCCGCTCCATCCGCTCCATCCGCACCATCCGCTCCATCCGCTCCATCCGCTCCATCCGCTCCATCCGCGCCATCCGCACCATCCGCTCCATCCGCTCCATCCGCACCATCCGCTCCATCCGCACCATCCGCTCCATCCGCACCATCCGCTTCATCCGCACCATCTGCTCCATGCGCTCCGCTCCATCCTCTCCATCCGCACCATCCGCTTCATCCGCACCATCTGCTCCATGCGCTCCATCCGCTCCATCGTGCAATGTCGTTTTTCTGGCACTTCTTCAGGAAACCGCAGCCATTTTGCAAGGAGGATAACCGCTCTCAAGAGTGTCATTCGAAACTCCCAGGCTGGAAGCGCCAGAACCACCTTAACGTCTAATTCTTTCTGACGCCTTAGACTGGCGGTCCGAACGCCCAACCATGCAATGTTTGTTGAAATTTTCAATGTTTCTAAAGTAGAAGGGTCCATGGAAGGTTCTTTGTCGCCCGTGACTCAGCGTGACTTAGTGACTTACATTGGAAAGGACACTGGATTCGTTCGTTTTTGACTTTTCGACTTTTTCGGATTTTTCGACTTTTCGGAATTTGTGACTTTTCGATTGGGCCCGAGACAAAATGAACTTTTCAACTTTTCGGATGTTTTTCTTTTCCTTTTCGGATGTGTCCGAAAGCCAAAATCAATTTTTTGAGCTTTCGACTTTTCGCGCTCCCAACGGACATTTTCATTTTCGAATCAGGAACTAGCTTTTACTAACGCTGTGACCTGAAAGGTCTTGGTCGGTACGTGGGATTGACTGCTTAAGCGCAAGGCTTACACCGTTCTCACCGGTAGACCAGCGTGCCGGTAGAAAAGGTTGAAGTAGCTTGGGCTGCTGCTTGCAGCTGTCAATTGTATATGTGCCATCTTCGTACTCTAACTCAGAGACCCAATCCCTCCGCCCCAGTTTCTTGCGTTTTTCAACGCGCCAGCCTTGAGGAGGTTGTTGTTCTGTCCAACGATCGAGTGCACGCCCGCAGCGCTGGTCCTCTGGCGCTCGAGCGCGCGCCGAGCGTCGCGTGTGAAAGGGTGTCAGAGGCACCGCAAGCGGCGCAGAAGCGCAGGTGGCGCAAGTGGCGCAGGCGGCGCAAGCGGCGCAAACGGCGCAGGCGGCGCAGGCGGCGCAGGCGGTGCAGGCGGCGCAAACGGCGCAAGCGGCGCAGGCGGCGCAGACGGCGCCAGCGGCGCAAGCGGCGCAGGTGGCGCAGACAGCGCAGACGGCGCAGACGGCGCAGGCGGCGCAGAAGATGCAATCGGCGCAAGCGGCGCAGGTGGCGCAAACGGCGCAAGTGGCGCAGGCGGCGCCGGTGGCGCAAGCGGCGCAACCACATGCGCAGACACGCTTTCCGCTCGCAGTGGCCCATTCTGCTATCAAGTGCTCCAATTCCGACGTCACATTGACTTCTCGGAAGATCAAATGGACAGGGAAAGCTCTTCTGTGATGAACTTCTTGCCTGTAGTCCACCTGATGGTAGCCCTGGATCACTCCCTGAGTGTCTGCGAGGCGCCAAGGTGGTCAGCGCCGTGAAGTGCACCACATCGTCATCTGTCAAAGCAGCCATGACAGCCGCGGTGGTTCTGTTCCACAATGCTGGCCCTTCCATGAAGCTACCGGCCCAAGCCCAGAGGCGAAAAGGTGAATTTGCAAAACACCGGTTCCTGGGGTTGCCGAGCCGACGCTGCAAATTCTGCATCACATAGTCAAGTGCGCTCATCGGCATAGTCAAGTGCGCTCACCGGCCAACCTGATCTGTCAGCCTTTGGTTCAGGCTGCTCGTCATCGTCATTCACTGGCATCATGGGAGTGTCCATGTTGCCAGCTCCCCCACAAAAGCTAGGGTAATTAGTCACTTGCCCTCCAAGATTGGCCAGCTCAGAGCAAGCTGGCGCCTCATCCCCAGGCAGGACACGGGTGCTCCTGTGTGGCCTGAGCCAAAATCTGCGTAACCAGGTACTCTAGCTCCACTGTGCAACCCCAAGTGAAACTCTCCGGAACTGGTTGTGTTGACACAACCCCTGTTGCAATCTCCTCTGAATGGAGCCTGTTACCCACACTTCCTTCTTTTCGCCGCACTCTCAGCAAGCTTCGATACAAAGTCGTTCACCTGTGCTGAGGTGGCATGAAGCCCTACACTGGCAATTGCAGTCAGGATAGCTTCAGGCGAGAGATCATCCGCCATCTCATCAGTTTTTTTTTGCTTTTCTTTCTCCAACCGTTGGTTGTACAAGGAGGTCGTGTTCTGGAGTTCCTTCTGTGCCACTTCGATTTTGCCTTGTAGCAGTAGTTGCGTGTACTGTGCCTTCACTGCATCTGCCTCGCTCTGCAAAGAAGCTTTCTTCTCTGACAGTTGTTTCAAAGTGCCCACTGCCTGCTTCACTTTGGATGCCAGAGTAGGCTCAGGCTTGTCTGGCTCCACAATCTTCTCAACTGCCTCTTTGATCAGCGTAGGAAGATCTGGCCCTGCTGGGGGCTCCGCAATCTGCATTCCCATTGCCGTGCATTGGGTTTTGAATGCCTCTGGCATCTGGTCCCAGTGCTCTTTGAGCGCTTTTTGCAAATTGGTGTCTCTAACCTTCTTGGTCTTTCATGTAGGCCAGCAGGTGGTTCGAGGAGCGCCTCATTGTATGTTTTCTCTGGCCACACTTGTCCATCTCCCTGGAAATTCCTGCCAGCCCATGTCACCTTCCGGCCTTGTCGAAGATCAGGTAGGTAGATGAACTTGCTGCCATGCCTTTCCGCATTGATTGCACCTCAAGTCAGGCTTTTTCATCAGCCTGTCCTCCCAGATCCAGCTCTGGTGGCAGTGATTGCAAACCCGATAGTGTCGTCTCATGTTTACTGCACCGTCCTCGATCTGGCCTTACGTGTTCTTTTTCACGTGATTCTTTGACCTCCTCGACAGCCAAGTGATCGCTGATCACTCGGCTTGATGCTTGAGCCAGTTGAATAAGACTATATAATAATGTATATATATATATATATAAGCCAGGATACCTATCCAGTGCCCTTGTTGCATTCTCAGACCACTAGAACAACAACAACTTCCTTCCTTGCACATAGAACATAGCTTCTATAATCTGTGCAGTTTGTGCCAGATGACAAGAAATTGCAGGGAAATGCGTTGTCCACAACCTGCCAATTTTCTCAACATATGCGAGAACTTTGGAAAATAACAATACATTCCTTTCCAGAGCCTAAAGACTGTATGAAAAAGCCTCATAAAATAGGATATTAACCTGTTTTGACAAGTTTGTGCCCGGATGGTGTGGTGTCAGAGTCTGGCACTGGATGAAAAATGACAACAACCACTGTAATAATATTGCAAACTATTACAACTTAGATGATGTGGTTTTAGATCCTGAGAACTGGATGAACCGCGTTAAACATTTCAACAATAGGTTATAAACAATACTAGTATAAGTCAAAGTTCTGGGTCAGGGCCGAACCATTGGACGAATAAACTTGTGATTCGAAAAGGCACGTTACAATAGTTTTTCAACATTCTTGTAGCTCGGACAGTGTTGGGGGTAGGGGCCTAAATAAAGACTGGATGAAAAGGTGATATATTGGAAAGAGCTAGATACTATTCTTAAAATTACTGAAGCGCGGACAGTGTGAGGTTAGAGCCCAACACCTAATAAAACAATTGACATTTGGACACATACACACAGCAAGTTTTCAGACATATTACAGTATAACTCGGACAATGTGGGGTCAGAATCAATTTTGCAAAACACTTATAAACGTGAAATCACGTTATATATCTAAAAAGGAACGCTTTGCAGTTGCAAAAAACCTCATCGTTTTGAACGATAGTTATAATGTTTGAAAGACGTTTTAGATATGAAAAAGGAACAGCAGTTACACAATTGAAAAACATATAGATTTGACACACATCACATTTCACAATTGCTATAAATTATAATCTGAAAATGCACTAAGCTGATCCACCCAAAAACCCATCGAAAGAACATTCTGGACTGTTTTCGTGCAAATTCGGGGTTTACTTGAAGCAGGAATCTTTCAATTTATAGCACTTTTCAAAATGACAGCTCATTTTCAATTGTTAAAACATTCAAGCTTTATATAATTTTTCAGATTCATCACTTGCCAGGTGAGGGTTGTTATATTTTATCAGAGCTGTCCCTCTCCTTTTCCTCCGAATGTGTGTTGCGTGAGCATTCCTGGTGTAGCCGGCAGAAGACGGGATTGCATACGACAGTGGCCTCAACACTTCAGCACTATGAAAAGGCGCATGTTGACAAGAATTGCACATATCAGGGGAGAACATGCCGGGAATGAGCGGAGGAGCAAAGCAATGAGCGGAGGAGCAAAGCCAGGAAGACCTTTTCAGTTTTTCATAGAAGAGTGCAGTTTCCTGGTTAGGAAATTCAGAGGTCTTGGGATTTCGAGACGGTCTTGAGATGAATGCTCAGGCAGATCTGCGGGCAGCCTCCAAGTACCGATGGAGAAACTTGAGGACCTGTGGTGGCTACCGCAGACCAAAAGAAATTCATAACATTACCCTTTTTAGTTCATACGTTTTATTTTTTTTGCAGTTCATTGCACGTGTTTTGTTCTCTTTTCAGACGATTTATTCATCACAACTGCTCAGCGTATCGTCTGTGTTTTTGCACGGCTCCAGAGGATGTGAAAAAACTGAAGCAGTCGACTCACTTAAATATGGCGGCGCCGGTTTCTCAGAAGAACTGCCTTTGCATCCATACTGGTTCCTCTTTGTTTGTTCTCTTTCTTGAAGCATTGTAGATATGTTCCTTCGTGTAGCAAAGATGCTCAGTATTCTTTCTTTGGCTGCGACCTGCGTCGACATTGCCTTTCTCATGTGCCGTTGCGTATTTACATATGTTTGTGATCAAGGTAGCACAAGTTGTTTCAGACAAAAGTATCATCTGAGAAGTTTTGAACTCATTCAGATGCTACTTGAAGTTGGGAGAGCACAGAAAGTGCATTGATGCGCAATTTGGCAGCAATACTGTAATCGCAATCTTGATTCAGAAATGACTCACAACTTAGACATGAACACGTCTGAAAAGAGCATGAGATCCAAGGTGCACCAAAGCATTGTCAACTTCACCGCTTTCAAAGGCATAAAGCAGCTTGCAACAGTTTGCTGCTTCATTTCTTGGTTTCAGGTTTCAGTTTTTTGTTGGTTTTATGATACTTAAGCAATGTTTCGCTTTCTTTGGTAGCAACATGCAATAACTCTTTGTTCCCCATTTTCACTGCTTTAAGTCTCGGGACTGCGGCACGACATCTTACTTTGTGTTTGCAGGCCTACTTCAGAAGAGGCCACTTCTAGCGAGCTGGAAGACACGCAATGCTATGCGTGTCGTCGTATGTTATCACGGCATTTTTGCTTGATCAAGCTGTTCCCGTAGAGTGTGAGCTTCTTGCTGCTGCCTTACGCGTCGGGTCTGCTGTGTGGTTGGCTGAATTGCATACTTTACTCGTTTTCGTTGGATCTATTCGCTCTGCACAGATGCCGAGACAAATAACATGTATTCCTGAAAGCATACACCTGTTGTTATAGCTCGCCGCAGGCATAGGTTTTTACTAGGCGGCACAGCGACTAATCAAGACTATTCTTAATTCTTAGTGCTGGAGGCACCGCATAGAGGCTAACCTTCATTCCTTAGCAGCAGTTTCCTCATCAGCTCTTCTTTTTCCTACATCCCTCGCACTTTCCTGTGTTGTTGCGCCCAGCCGTGCTGCAGCCGCCCTACAATTCTACAGTGATGAGCTGAATTGGTCGGACTAGTCTGCCCAAAGACTCATTTAGAGGCATTCTCTGCCATGTTTCTTGCAGTGTGTCTTTTTTGCCTCAATCACAACAGTTTCAATCGATTTCGATCGTGGGTGCCACGAAGCGCGACTGACGCGACTGACCTGTGCTGTTTTGGGAGGTTCGTTCGCCTCCGTTGGTACTGTTTTGACCACAAATTGTTGGTTCTTCCTTTACCGTTTGAAGATTAGGATGCACAGTTTTTTCCCGCTCTAGCTCGTGCGTTTGATGCCGCCTTCAAACGGCTTGATGAAATATACTGTATTTTTTCTGCACGATGCCCAATGCCGTCTTCATATTTCTGCCAGTGGTTCCGGACTGAAGAATATATGCGACGTGCAAATGCTATTCCTCATTAGCTAGCCTGCCCCAGATGCTCCCAATAGGTCTTCCGCTTTGTGGACAGCGTCTGCAATGATCTCGCACAGGACAGGCGCACCTGGAGCTTCGCAGTTTGGATGAGGTGAGGTGCAGTCTTGTACAGTCTTGGCTGTGCTTGGCTGCGATGACATGCTGCAAGGGAGGAAGTAGACATTCCGCAGAAGTCTCCCGATTCTATCAGGCAAAGGAAGACTTCGAGCGAGCCCGTGAGTTGGAACCAGATCCAGCCATTGATAAGGAACTGAAGAGGCCATTCAAAGTGGTTGTTTTGTCCTTCCAGAGTGCATTTTTCATGTCTTTTTCTCCGACAAAGAGTTTAAGCGTCTTTCCTGTCAGGTTAAGGCAGGCTTTCTCGCAGCATGATGCCAAGGTGTGGCTACAGGGAAGTTTCCAATTCAGTGATGAAGTTGTTGCAAAGAGATGCGAAAAGCGCTTTCTGTTCAAAAAGTTACACATGGCTTGTCATGCAAAACAGGCTGCGCTAAGCTGTGAGGTTGGAGGCCATCCCTATTAGGTTGGAGGCCATTGCTATTTGGTTGGAGGCCATTGCTATTAAAGGCTGG